GAGCCCGCCGCCCCTCCAGTAGCTGCTGGCCCCGGAGCACCCCCGGAGTCCCTCTGCGGCGGTCCCGGGGCGCCCGGAGTGCCCGGGCCCCTCCACGGCCTGGCCCGGCCAGAAGCGCTGTACTACCAGGGTGAGTGGACCCCGCGGTTCAGGGCCGGACCGGGGCTGCACAGGGGTGCAGGGTCGCTGGAATCAGACAGCTCTCAGGGCTCAGGGAGTTGGAGGCCAGGCGCACAGACCCAAGGTCCCGGGGACACAAACTTGGAGGGACACGGAGCCTGGGACAAAGATAAGGATGGAGAGCTAAAGGGCAGTGCTCCTATATAGGGGTTGGATGGCGTCCTTGGGGGGGAGTCGGGTATCAGCGACACAGATATAGGGGGTTTCATAACTACAGGATCTCAAGGACCCACCTAATCTAGAGTTACAAGGAGTCAGGGCCTTTACTCAAGAAACTGAGGTTCTTGGCTGCAGATAGTGGGCTCAGAAGGAATGGGAAGCAGAGATACATGTTGGAGGATTCGGGGTGTCAAAATCGCAGGAACTCAGATCTCAGAGTGCATGAGGAGTCATGGGAGCAGAGTTTGGGGTACTGAAATCCAAAGAAACAAACAAGGATCCCCAGGAGCTGGGGGTCGGGTGGGGGTGGGGGGCCCACAGGCAGAGAACCATGGTTCTGGGCACCCAGTGATGCGAGGTGACAGGTGATCAGGGTCCCATCTGGGGTTGCAAGGACAGGACCTAGAGATGGCCAGCAGGACAAGGGCATTCTGGGACTCCAGGATCTAGGGCCCCAATGAAGGAGGGATTTCTTCCAAAGGCCTTAAGGTTGGATATGCAGGGAACTGGAAATTTGAGTAGGGGGGATTCTTAAAGGAAGGTTCCCTATGGGCAAATAAAAATAACGGAGGCCGCACATCACTCTCCCCACCCTAATCTCAAGGAAAAGCACCCACCTCATGATCCCCAAGTGACCTCCAAAGTTTCAGGGACCCCAGATTTTCTCACCACCACCCCAAATCTTCCTCCAGCTTCTGCACCTCCCACTGCAGCAGATTGCAGCAGATGGAGGGCCACAAGCTGTGCAACAGGAAGCCTCCCACCCTTCTCCCGTTTCCTGCAAGAGAACTTGGGCCTCAGCTCTTCCCATCTGTGCAATGGGTCCCTGTGGACTTGACTCCTGCCTTGGATGAGTTGGAATGGACTCCCAGGCAATGGGTTTTTTGTTTTGTTTTATGGTCTTTTCCAACCATTGCCTCTGGCCAGACTCCCCACACCCACTTTTCTTACCCTCTAACCCTCCCCTCTCCCCAAACCCAGGACCCCTTTGCCCCACACCCTTAGCACAGCTCAGCTTCCCATCTGCTGCTTGTCTCCCTTGGCCACAAATTCGCTTAGCAACCAGCCTGTGGGGTCCCCCACTGGAGGGTGATGGTGAGGCTCAGTCTACCCCCTTAAGGGATTCTTTGTCTAGGGGGAACAAGGTGCATTCAAGTGACTGAGTGCGTTGTGGGGACTCAGGAGGTATGGGGAGATGGGATCTGGGTTGGCCTCCTCCTGGCCTTTGAAGGCTAGAAGGAGATACAAAGAACCTGGGGACTGAGGGCAGACCGCCAAGGTCAAGACCAAGGCCAGGAGATGAAGGAGGGTTAAGGGCCTCTGCACTTGTCTCACCTGTATCCTTTTTCCGCCCCGCCCCTTCCAGGACCTTTTCTGCCCCTGTACCCCACCCCATCTATGGGCTCTCCGTTTCCTCTGCTAAGCCTGCCTACCCCCCTGTACCCCATCATATGCTCCATGGAGCACCCCCTGTCGACAGACATCGCCATGGCCACCCGCGCAGATGAGGATGGAGACACGTAAGTGACAGTCCCTCACCCACGGAGGGAGCGCAGCCCCCCAACCTGCCACACAACAGGGCCGCTCAGCTTGGGCTTTTGCTGGCTGGGTGACCATGAGCAAGACCGTGCCCCCTCTTTGAGCCTCAGTTTCCTCTTCGGGAAAAAAAAAGCAGGTGTTCAAGAGCAGCTCTGCCCTAGGACAAAAGGAAGCTAGAGTCTTGCAATTATTTAATATTATTATTATTACTGAGTCAGAACTCACAAGTGAGGAAGACACTGCATGGATTGATTTCCTTCCTGTATGCAGTATGCATGTAAAGCCCCTAGCACAGGCCTCCACAGACGGGCTGGGAGGTATGGTTAGTTGCTGTGAAACCCCCCTGTGTGCAGAGCCAATCTGCTCCAGAGGGTCTCCAAGGCTGAAACCTGTTGGAAGGAGATTGCCAGGCCTGTCTTCGCGTCGCCTCTGGGTGGATTTGGACCACCAGCCTTTCGGTCCATCGTGCAACCCTGGGGTGGGGGGGACCCCTTACGTGCTTAGTATGCATTTGTTATTATTCCTACGAACCTATAGACCCACACCACACGTACCCCAAATGTAAAATGACATAAAACAATACCCCGCCCTAACTCCGATAGGATCTGGTGTGATATTTTCTATTCTAGTCAGTTTCACTGTTTTTGCTTCTGGCCACAAGCCCCTCCATTAATTAGCAGACACCCTCAACTGACTTAACAATCCTTATGGTTTATGAATCTGTGCTTTTAAAGGACGTTCTCATCCTTCGCGTGAGGCTGCTGTGTGAGAAATATGAATTAAACATCCTGAGGGCTTTCTCTCTAGACCAGCACAATCGGTCTTTCTTCTGTTGGCCTAGCTTTGAATCTCTGCTGGCCACGGCTTTCTCGCTCCCGCTGTGCCTCAGTTTCCCCCTCTGCAAAAGGGGAATCAGAAAGCCAAACCAAACCTGGGAACCATAAACTGTGTGAGGGTCCCCCTGAAAAAGAAGCGAGGTGGTCTCTAGAAAGTGCTTATCTGGGGATTGGCTTTGGGCCCTTGGGAGCCACAGGTAGGACAGATGAGGGTGAACCGGACTCACCACTAGCCCGCTGGGTCACATCACTTCTCTGAGCCTCAGTTTCCCTGTCTGGAAACCAGGGCTTTGAATAGACCCTGTGACAATTAGGCTTCTGTGCAATACCAGCTACACAGAGGGGGCGGAATAAAGCCCCGTACATAGTGAGCTCTCAATACTCGGGGGTGGAGAGTGGTGGTGGTGATGGGGGGTGTTGTCTGAACAGAACTCAGACTGGAGAAAGTGCTGGGGGTGACCAAGAACCCCACAAAACCTGGTGGCCACCTGGCCTCAGTCTCTCAGCGGGGTGGTCCATGAAATGGGCTTCCTCTGTATCTGCCCCCAGAAGTGACTTTTTTGTGGCCTGGGAAAGCAGCCCCGCGCCCGCCCCACCCGTCCTCCCCCAATGCAAACACTTCTGCCTCAGCTGCCAGTTGGGGGAAATCCCTTCCCGCAGAGCCTGACCGCAGCCCAGCTGCTCTGCCTCCCCCACGTCAGCGCCCCGTCACTCACTCCTGCCTCCCCACTCCTGGCTCTCCCTCTAACCTTAACCCCTTCCGCTAGGGCCTGGGCTTTACCGGAATGGGCAGCCGGCCCAGCCCCAGGCTGTGTGCGCTTTGGAGGTGGGGAGGCCCCACTTCACGCTTGAGGGGATGGCGGGGGAGGAGGGCGCTGGGACTTTGTCTGGGCCCCTAGAGAAGCCTAGGGTTCCCAAGCTGGTCTTCAAGGGTACTCGGGCATCTATCTGAGCCCCTCTTCTATTCTCCCAGTCTGGGACTGGGGCGGGGAGGGGGGGCGCTCGGGATCACTATGAAGTTGAGGTGCTATATGCCTTGTTCCCCAAGGGGCTTAAGAACACAATGCGGGGCTGGAGGAGGCCTGTGGGCAGGACCAGGCGTTTAATTTGCTGAGCCCCTGGTAAAACGAGTATCTCCAGTCTCGGGTTCCTGGTTCAAAAAGAAAGACTTGGGGTCAAAAGAAGAGCTGATACCAAGGGCTCAAGTAGAAAATTGTTTTGGAAATGATGCCAACATATGTACCAGGGTGCTCAATACCATTGAACGATGGGTGGTTATAAGATTTGTAAGAGCCTCCCAATAAGATGATCGATTTAAAAGAAAAGAAGACTTTTGGGGTTGGGACTAGCGAAACATTAAACCCGCGCATGGGCCCTTGGAAGCGGGAGGTCTCAGTCCCAGGAGGTAGCCCTGCCTGGAAGTCTGTGCACCCTTCCACCCCCACCCCCCAAAATGGCCAAAGATTGGGGAATTGTGTTACTAGCAACGATTGTTACTAGCAACGATGGGGTGGAGGGCAGTTTGGGGAGTTCTAAATCTTCGCAGAACAATTGGGGTGCTCTATCGGAAATCCTAGGATATGGGTGCGGGAGGGGGGGGCGGGGGGGCCCTGAGAAGAGGTGTTCCAGAGGGGCTCAACGTTGGAGGGTTCTGCCCTCTGGGGGCGCTCATCTATCCGTGCCCTGTGCTCTTCGCCCTCCCTAGCCCCATTGGGGGATGGAAGTTGGGGTGTGGGGGGGAGATCTTTGGCAGGGCAGGCTTCCCTCCCCCGGGAGCAGGAAGCGGAGCCCCGCCCCTCAGACCTGTTACTGGAAGTCCGAGGGCTGGTCCGCCCCTCCCGTCCCCACTTCCTCCAGCCCCGCCCCACCCCCTGCGGCCCGCGCGTTTATGGGAACTTGGGCCTGGACGGTTTCTCTGAAATCATTCGCTCCCTCTGCCCTCGCTTAACCCTGCCCTCCCCGCCGAGGACCCGGGGCCGGGCGCCCTGGGAGATGCAGGGAGGGGAGGGGGCCCTTCCTAGGAACCCCACCCCGCCCCGCCCAGGGCTGGGCCCTCTCCCGACATTGCCTTTTTAAAATAGGCGCGCACCCCTGAAGGATCCAGGTTTCACCTGCCACGGTCTCTCCCTATGAGGCAGACGCGGTGCTGTGGCCAGGTTTACATCAAACTAGGAAAGGCATTGCTGTAGGATCGGCTCTGACTCATGGGACCTCCCTCTGACTACCGAACAGAGCTGCTCCGTAGAGTTTCCTTGGCCGAAACGGATCGCCAGGCCTTTCTCCCGCAGCCCCACCTGGTGTGTCAACCTGTAGGTTACCAGTCAAGTGCAAAGAAACCATTTGCGTGGCATAGTGGTTATGCATTGGGCAGTTAGCTGCAAGGTCAGCAGTTTGCGACCAGCAGCCTCTTGCGGGAGAAAGACTGGGCTTTCTACTCCCATAAAGAGTTTCAGTCCTGGAAACTCACAGGGGCAGATCTACGCTATCCAACAGGGTTACGATGAATCAGCATCGGCTAGATGGCCGTGAGTTTGGTTTGGGGGCCTACAGGAGGAGCCCCCGTAATGCAACCCGAGCTGCAAGGTCAGCAGTTGGAAACCATCAGCCGCTCTCGGAGGGAAAGGAGAGGCTTTCTGGTTCATACCTGGAGAGCTACAATCTCGGAAACCCCCCAAAGCACTTCTCCTCTGCCCTGTCGCTACACGTCGGTTTAGAGTGAATTAAGAGAGATGACACTTGACTGAGGTCAACACTGAGGTTTCAAGGGACTCTCTGGACTTTAACTGAGCCCCCGTGGCCCTGTGGTTACGAGTAGAGCTGCCATCTGCAAGGTCTGTAGTTTGAAACCACCAGCTAGCTGCTCCAAGGGAGAAAGATGGGGCTTTCTACTCCCATAAAGAGTTACCGTCTCAGAAACTTAGGGAGGCAGTTCTATCCTGTCCTGTGGGGTCGCTGTGAGTCAGAATCGACTCGCCAGCAATGAGAGAGGGAGGGGAAGAGGGAGAGACAGAGACAGCTGGGAAAGGGTGGCATTTGTAGCCCAGGCTTGCCTGTGCCTGTCCCCGCCCAGTCTCTGGGCTACAGGATGTCAGAAGCCTTCATCTGAGCCACCTGGGGAACAGGCTTAAGATGTAGATTCTGGATGCCCTTAAGAACTGAGAGAGCAGTTGATCTAGTGACTGTGAACTTGAACTTGTGTGAAAAGGTGCCCGGCCATGCAGTGCAGTACACTTGGTGCCCTCAGCTCTGCTCACAGTTGTGTAGACACACACACACACACACACACACACACACACACACACACACACACATCTCAGGTTGCCTCTTGCTCTGGGTGACTGTTAGAGATTGGGGTGCCTGAGAGCAAAGCAGGAAGTCTCTGGGGAGTACCTTCAGGATATACAAGCCTGGGGGTGGTGAGAAAGGGAGGCCTGTGCAGTGGGTGGGGATGGGGATATGGGCAAAGCTTGCTGAGGCCTCAGCCATCCCATGAAGAGCGCCAAGGTAGGGGTGAGGGGTGGCCTTCAGAGGTGTGACCCAGGCACTGAGCCTTCTAGGCCCATTGACCAGCCAGCCACTGGGTGGATGGTGGCTGCCCACCCCCTGGATGGGGAGTGACCTTGGGCCAGCAGCTCTCTTCAGCTCAGGGTGATTTCCACTGGGCATAGCCCAGCCTCTGTTAACCATGACCTTACTTAGTATGTCCACGCACCTCCCCTTGAAGCAAAATTCTCCATCCCCATGCTTGGGTGTCACGTATGTACATGGCCTTGGAGGGAGGCTAAAGTCCCACCAAGACTGGCTGAGAGGCCTTGCTAGCACCTCACTCACCGCCGTCCTTTTCACAGTTGAGACCATAGCTCCAATGACCAGGGTGACCCTAGAGATGGAGTCACGTCCCCAGCCTGTGTCCAAGGACCCCTGGAGGCCTACTGGGTTACTCTTTTGGGGCTGCTAACCGCAGTCAGCAGTTCAAACCTGCCAGATGCTCCATGGGAGAAAAATTGAGGCTGTCTGCTTCCATGAGGATGTACTGTCTCAGAACCTCACAGGGGCCATTCCACTGTGTCCTATAGGGTTGATGTGGGTCAGAACTGGCTCGATGGCTGTGGGGTGTTTTTTCCCCTAGTGTCCTAGGGAGTGTGCAGGGACTCGGAGGCAGCCCCCTGCCCTGGAGGACCTGGCATTGTAGTGGGGAATTTCAGACAGGGAGCAAACAAACACTACCCTGCCGGGTGATGATGGGGTGAAGGGAAACCTAGCAGGGTCAGGGGGGCAGGGACCGGAGTGAGAAGAGCGATGACACGAACTCCCCCCACCAAAAAAGTGGTAGTCTTGGGAGCTCTAAGGAGCAGGTCTACTGTCTGATAGTCAAAAGCCCTTCCATGGAAGCGGGGTTTGTCAGTTAGTCTGTTTTGAGCAAGGAGAACAAAGCTGAATCCTAATCCAGTTGCCTGTGTCGATCCTGACTCCAGGTAACCCCGAGTAGTACTAGAGCTGCTCCATCCAGGTTTCTTGACTGGTTTTTGAAAGAAGTACATCACCACGCCTTTGCTTCCTCCGCACCATTGGGCGGGGTTTGAACCAGCAACCTTTAGGCTAACCATGGAGTGTGGCGCATTTGCCCCAGTCTGGGACCCCTGAAAGCCAGCCCTGTGAGGGAGCACTGTTCCATGGCAGCGAGAACAGCGAGTGCAAAGGCCCAAGGAGAAACAGAGGCATGGTGTACTTCAGGAGGATGGAGAAGCCGAGATTACACTGGGCCTTATGAACCACACAGGAGCGCCCAGTTGTGAGCAGTGCGGGTCCCGAGTTGGGCTGCTGCTAACCACAAGGTCAGCAGTTCAAAACCACCAGGCATTCTCTAGGAGAAAGATGAGGTTTTGTGCTCTTGTCAAGAGCTTCAGTCTCCATAAGATCACTTGTAGGCGAGACTCTTAACTCACTCTCGGCTTTAGCACCCTCTTGGGAGAAACCTCCGAACCGTGAGAGCCAAGTGGAGGAGGAAGAGAATGCACAGACCCAACGTGCAGGATGAGGCAGATGTCCAAGTAAACTCGCGTGCACACCTCAGAAGCTACGGCTGAAAGACTATGGAGGGTCTGAGGCCAGGACACTGGTACAAGTTGTTGACTGGGTGCTACCTACCCTCTAGAACACTGGTTCTCAACCTTCCTAACCCCACCTCCCACCCCACCCTTTTATACAGTTCCTCATGTGGTGGTGACCCCAACCAGAAAATTATTTTCGTTGCTACTTCATCCCTGTCATTTTACTACTGTTCTGAATCATCATGTAAATAGCTGATAGGCAGGATGTATTTTCATTGCTACAAATTGAACATCATTAGAGTGATTGATCACAAAAACTATATGAAATCATATATTGTGAAATATATATTTCTAATGAAAAATCAATGAAATTTTGTCTTGAAGCATGGTGTAGCATGGGTAATAGTATTCAAGCCGGTACTCGTATGTGGGTGTATCTGCCTGTGGTCGGATCCAACTGGAGACGGAATAGAGGAGCGGTGTCTCAGTTCCTAAGACCATGGGAAATATGTGTTTTCCGATGGTCTTTAGGAGACCCCTGTGAAAGAGTCCTTCAACCCCCAAAGGCCTCGTGACCCACAGTTGAGAACCGCTGCTCTAGAACTCCTATGGATGTAGGACTTCCATCGCCCTCCATCTCCGCGAGCACTTGAGAGGCCCACCTTGCTCCTACCTAACCTGTTCAGTTTTGACCCTTTGCCCTGAACCTATGACATTCTGGATCAGTTCTGTTCTCTGTCGTGGCTCAATAGAATGTGCACAATAAATCATCCCTTCTGCTGGCTTAGTTAAGATTGGGGGGGGAAAGAGGGACGGTATCACAAACACACAGGGGCAGCTCTGCTCTGTCCTTCTGCCCCGATGGGGTTGTTGCTATGAGTCGACATTGACTCTTTGGCATTGAGCTTGGTTTTGGTTTTTTAAAAGGGTCCCTTTGACTTCTGTGTAGGGACAGCCTAGCGCAGTGATGGGTGCAGGGGGCCCAGGCAGGGGGGACTGGATTAGTCCAGGAGAGAGACAAGGCTGTTCAACCCGGGTGAAGGATTTGGGATGTGGGCTTCCAAAGGAGCCATCAGCTATTGGGGTTCACACAGTTACAAGAGTGAGGCGAAAAGCAAGCGGCGCCTCAGGTCTGTGGGTCTTCTCTCTCTAGGCCCCTCCACATCGCCGTGGTGCAGGGTAACCTGCCCGTCATCAACCGGCTGGTCAACCTCTTCCAGCACGGGGCCCGGGAGCTGGACACCTACAACAACCTGCGGCAGGTGAGGGCTGGGGCTGGGGCTCCTGGGGCTGAGGGAGGAGGCAGGTGGCTGGGACCCCCTGACTCTTCAGTGCAAACCAGGAAGTGGCCCAGACTCCTGGGATTGAGAAAAGACAGGTCAGATGCCAGAATCCCTGGTGGAGGAATAAGAGGAGGTGCCCCGAGGCTGGAGTTCAGCTCGGGGTGGGACACAGGCCCCCCAACACTGCCGTTCTCTCCCCTAGACTCCACTGCACCTGGCGGTGATCACCACGCTGCCGTCCGTGGTTCGGCTGCTAGTAATGGCTGGCGCCAGCCCCATGGCGCTGGATCGCCACGGGCAGACGGCGGTCCACCTGGCGTGTGAACACCGCAGCCCCACCTGCCTGCGCGCCCTGCTGGACAGCGCAGCCCCGGGCACCGTGGACTTGGAGGCCCGCAATTACGACGGTGAATACAATACAGGGAGAAGAGGGGGTGCGGGGCCGAGGTGTAGCTGGACCAGGAGTCCATCTGCAGCCCCAAGGTCACGGGCCTGAGTCTAACGGAGCCTCCCTCGCCCCCAGGGCTCACCGCCCTGCATGTGGCTGTGAACACCGAGTGCCACGAGGCCGTGCTGCTGCTGCTGGAGCGGGGCGCCGACATCGACGCCATGGTGAGCATGCGCGGGTTGGGGCGGAGCCAAGAGGGGCGAGGGTGTGGCTTGTGGCCGAATGGGGCGTGTCGTGGGAGGGGCTTGTGGGAGCAGGCTGGGGACTCAGGCCAGCCCAAGCGGGCGGGATGCGGGTCGCGGGCTACTTGGCAGAACTTCCCAAACCGGCAAACCAAGTCACTGCCATCAGTGGATTCCTACTCATCACGACCCTGTAGGACAGGGTCCTGTGGGTTTCCGAGGCTGTTAACTCTTTGCGGGAGTAGAAAGTCTCACCTTAAGCGGAGAGGCTGGTGGTTTTGAATTGCTGGCCTTGGCAGTGAGCGGACCGACGTGCAACCACTACGCCACCCGAGCAGAACTTAGGCTCAAAGATCCTGTCTTTCTCCCACAGGACATTAAGAGCGGCCGCTCCCCGCTCATCCATGCTGTGGAAAACAACAGCCTTAGCGTGGTGCAGCTGTTGCTGCAGGTGGGTACCGCCCCCACGTGGCCCCGCCCACGTGGCCCCGCCCCTCTGGCTCCGCCTTCCAGCTCTAGCTAGTTCTGGCTCCAGCCTTCCTTGAGGCATTGCCCCTTCATCCACCCTCCTTCCCCTATAAAAATCACTCCTCTGGCTGCGACCTCGTGTCGGATTCTTTTCCATTCCTTCCTCGGCCCTTACAACGCCCAGGCTCCTCCCAGCAATGGCTTTCTCCCTGTCCCGAACCTCCCGCCCCAGCTCCATCCTCGGTCTGGACCATTCCCTTCTCCGATGGGCAGGTCTGCCTGACCAAGCGCTGCCCGCCCCGGCCCACCCTTAGTTCTAGCGGTCACGCTCCTGTGACCCTTCCCCATGTCGACAGCCCGCGACCCCTATCTACCCCTTGCTCATCCACACCCCACTTGTCCACCTCGTCCACTCCCATCTGGCCTTCTGGCTCAGGTCTAGCTCTTCTACAAACCCATCCACACAGCCACGCTCCCTGTCCATCTCTTGCTCCGGCAACACCTCTCAGGGCCCGACCCAGCCCCATCCACCCTGGTCTGGCTCGCTCCGTGAGCGCACCCACCCCCATCTATCTGCTCACGCCCCTTTCTGACTCGACTCCGCCCCTCTTACCCGCCCTAATCATTTGTAACCCTGTCCATCCTTTTTTTAAATCACTTTGTTGGGGGCTTTCACAGCCCTGATAACATTCCATATAGCAATTGTATCACGCGTGTTTGTGCATATGTTGCCATCGTCATTTTCTAAGCATTTGCTTTCTATCTGAGCCCTTAGAATCACTCTTTTCCCCCTCCCTTCCCCCCTCCCACCCTCGTGACCCCTTGATAAAATATAAATTATTCTTTTCCTATCTTACACCTACTGCTAACTCCCTTCACCTACGTTTCTGTTGCACACCCCTCTGATGGGGGCGGGGGGCGGGGAATCCTATCCATCTTTATGAGCATGCCTCCGACACGCCCCTCGGGGAGGCCCCGCCCCTTTAGGCAGGCCCCGCCCACCAGGGGCTGCAGGTTCTGACCGGTCCCTTGCGCCCAGCAGCACGGCGCCAACGTGAACGCGCAGATGTACTCCGGCAGCTCGGCGCTGCACTCGGCGTCCGGCCGCGGGCTCCTCCCGCTCGTGCGCACGCTGGTCCGCAGCGGCGCTGACAGCGGCCTCAAGAACTGCCACAACGACACGCCGCTCATGGTGGCGCGCAGCCGCCGGGTGAGTGTGTGTGCGTGTGTCCGCGGGAGGGCGGTGAGGGTGCACGTGTGTGTAGGGGTGTGCGTGGAAATGTGTTTGGCCAGAACGTGGGTGGTAACGAGTGGGCAGGAGCGGCAGCGTGGCGCAAACGGTTAAGCACTGGACGAGACGCCTAAACCAGTACCACCCATCAGTTCTGACCCAGGGACCCTAGGGGACACCGTAGAACCCCGTCTTAAGATTCCGAGGCTATCAATCTCCTTGGGAACCAGCAACCTCCTCTTGGCTGGCTTGGCCCTTAGCAGCCCCGTGCTTATGCCCCAGCCACCTGCCCTAGAGCTGGAACGTTTGGCTTCTCAAAGGAGCAGTAGCTATTCTGCACGCGGGGTGGACACTGCAGCCACCAGCTACCATCCACCCCCCACCGCCAAGCAGGCATACGAGCCTTGGGTTTTAGAGAGCAGAGTGAGGCACAAAAGGAGGAAGTGACTGAGGAGTTGTTGGTCACTGACAGAGGCCATGAGTGGGAAGGAGGGAGGGTGTGAAGACCCTCCCCATGAGCCACCTCTTCCCACAGGTCATCGACATCCTCAGGGGGAAGGCCACGCGGCTGGCTCCCTCGCTACCATCTGAGTCGTTCTCCGAACGGAGCACCACCTCCCCCGAGAGCGGCAGCCGCCTCAGCTCCAATGGTAAGACCTGCCCCAACCCCAAGGTCTCTAGTCCTCCTCCTCCTCCTCC